ACACCTCTTCACATTTCCACATGTGTTCCACAGGCTCATATTCTCTCTTACAAGGCCCGGCATGGCCAGGTGGTTAGGGTGCTTGACTCGCAATCTGTGGGTCACGGGTTCGAAACCCCGTCACACTAAATATGCTCGCCCTTTTAACCGCGGGGGCGTTATAATGTGATGGTCAATCCCACTATTCGTTGGTAAAAGAGTAGCCCAAGAGTTGGCGGTGGGTTCTGATGACTACCTGCCTTCCCTCTAGTCTTACACTGCTAAATTAAGGACGGCTAGCGCAGATAGCCCTCGTGTAGCTTTGCGCGAAATCCAAAAACAAACAAACAAACAATTAAAGAACTCGGGCTACGAACACCTTTCATCCTTTGAAGTCCAAACAACATCGTTCTGTAAGATATATACATTTATTGCGTATGAGAAACTGAAGTTACTAATTCTGTGTAAACGTCTTTAACACAAAAACAATGCAGAAATTAATTCGATAAATCATCCAAAAAGTAAGATGTGCATTGAGTTGAATGCGGCATAAGTTCAAATGTTTTGACATATACACATGTGTATGTATGTGGGAAAAACATAATATTCAATTTCTCGTTACTAATTGTCAGAAACATAATTCCTGAGAACAACATAGTAAGGGAAAATACCAGTAATTTTCATGGTGGAATTTGATAATTTTGATAAATTGAATATTGACATTTCTTTACTTGTGAATAATCTTTTTTTTTTAAATAGGATGTTATCGTGCTTGTGAGTTGGCCATGAACGATCTCTATATTTTTATTATTGCCAAATTACTTATACTATGACCAGTTTTTTTCTTTTTCTCGGTAGTATTATAATGCTTGGAAGTATCTTTATATACCTCTTAGGCCACGGAGGTGTGAACCAACTTGGCGGGGTTTTCGTTAATGGACGTCCGTTACCCGATATTGTACGGCAGAGGATTGTTGAACTGGCTCACCAAGGGGTGCGTCCTTGTGATATCAGCAGACAGTTGAGGGTTTCTCATGGGTGTGTGTCTAAAATTCTAGGCAGGTAAGTGATTTTTATTGTTCTTCTATCTTAAAACTAACTATTGACAAGGCAGAGTTTGTACCAAGCCATGAAAAGGTCCAATTAGTCACTGTAAGATTTCATATGGTCAACATGTAAGTTGAAAATGTTCAGTTTCACTTCAGTGACTTTAGAAATAAACAGAATATTTGATAATTGCGGTTTCGGAAACATTTAGTTTCTGATTTTTTTTTCTGCCTTTCTATGTTCTGAATGTTATCCTTAGCTTGCCTTCAAGATTACTCACTTGTTACTACATTGTAAAACAAAATTTCCTTTCTTTATTGTGTTTATTTATGTGCCGTCATACGGCTACAATACAGTAAATAAAATTTTATGTGTGCACAAAACACATTGTATCACATATGAACAGTACAGAGTAATTTATAGGGGAAGTGGGTTGAATATCAATATATATTGATCTGACGATGAACCTCCATGTGTTGACCTTAGAAGTTGGAACAGTATAGCTTCGTTTATATTCTTATTTATTGTTGTTGGAAAATGAAATTTGTTTAGTAAGAAAAAAAGAACTTGTATATCTTTAAGCCTAAGCATTTCAAATCACTATAACAATTCAGCATGAGCACCATGGTATTCAAGAAAAGTAGCCAGTCACATTATCATTCCGTTACAATTATTAAGAAATTTATAAGCAGATTCTTTTCCATAGGAGATATGTTTGTGTACGTGTTACTTTAATAATGTTAAAACTGCCATTTTAGTAGAACACAAATTTCGTTTTTTTCAATACAATTGTATGTCACACTGAACTAGAAAACAGAATTTTATATATTGTTTATGTTCCACTATAAGTCTAATATACAGAATCAGGGACCCCTTTGTATTGCAGGGAGAGTATATGAACTAATATCTTTTATGAACCCAATTTTTGTGTATATAATACTTGGATTTTTTAGAAAATGGTGTCCCTAGAACATTAGAACGGTTTGCACAAGAGAGTATGTTGGGAATCAACGTTGAAGAATATTTTCTGAACGATATATCAACTGATAGTGTGAAAAATAGTTTCTGAACAGCGCATCAATTCATATTATGAAGAAAAATAATTTTCTCTGAACGGTGCATCAACTGATAGTCTGAAGAATATTTTTGAACGATGTATCAGTTGACTGTGTGAATAATATTTTCTGAACGGTGCATCCGTTGATTCTGTGAATAATTTTCTGGACGGTGCATCAGTAGATAGTTTGAAGAATATTTTCTAAACGTCTTACTACTTTTAATGTGGTAATCTAGTCTCTGTACAATTAATATATCTTATTTCGTTTTTTTAGTTGTGACAAGCTATTTACCCCAGATTTAATACGTTCTACTACTCATTATTGTTGTGGCAAGCTAGGCACTCCAGAATTAGTTTATTGTGTAAAGAATATTTTTTAAACAATACATAAGTTGATAGTTTGACGAATATATTTTGAATAGTGTATCAGTTGATTGTGTGAAGAATATTTTTGAACGGTATATCACTTAATAGTGTGAAGAATATTTTTGAACGATACATAAGTTGATAGTTTGAAGAATATATTTTGAACGGTGCATAAGTTGATAGTTTAAAGAATATTTTTTGAATAGAATATCAGTTGGTAGTGTTAGAGAATTTTAGCTCTTTAGATGTAGACTCTCGAAATTATCACTTGTGTTAATTATATATGTATAAGTATTATGGCAACTTTGTAGGTTTACCTTCTTTTTGTGTTTCCGGATTTATCATTTTAGAAACTGACTACTTTATGGGTTACATTGTTGTGTTTCCTGATTGATCCTTTTAGAAACTACTTTATGAGTTACATTGTTGTGTTTACGAACTGATATTGCTCAAAATTGGCAAACCTTTTATGCTACTTTTTCGTGCTTACGAAACTAATGGTTTCAGAAACAGATAGCCTTGTGAGTTACATGTTTGTGTACGTCGGGATTCCTTCGTAATAATATATATATGTATTTTACACAGAGTTTAATAAATTGTACAAATAAAAGCAGAATACTATGAAGCAATCTAACCTAAAATCTTAGAAACGAAGAAAATCAATGTTAATGTTCTACCAAGAAAGGTAAGTCAACGTTTCGACGAAACCGGCTTCCCGAAGTGACGATAATAACCTCTTGTCTTTCATAACAATGTTACGACTTTCTCACTTGTCTGACAGAAATTTCACACTCCAATAATTTCTAAGAAAAACAAAATCATTGGTCGAAAATCTGTTGAACAAAAGCTATGAAATAGTTCGAAAACAAACAATTTTAATGTGTCTTTGTCTGAACACCAATGTTCTTTGCTATTTAGAAATATTTTGACTAGGCATCTTTCAGAACCACATTCAGAAGAGCAAAGAAACAGTTTTTTTTTGGACTTAGTGAACTTTAAAATTACTTGGGATTTACTTGGCATTCGAACTGTATAGTATATCTGGTTACATCTGTTATATCATATTACACTGAGTGGTTTAGTATATCAAGCTACGGTAGCATTCTGAGACTGCTTGGCCTGTTCTTCTATCATAGTAATAGATTAGCTAACCTAAAACTAGCTCTACAACCTGTATATAAGTAGTTTAATATACTGAGATTCACTAATATTGCGTGGAATAGTGTAATACATCGAGTTTTATTTAGCATAATTAACTGCTCAATATGCTAAAGTTTACTAACAGCATACTGGATAGTCTAATACAAAGAGTCTAACAAGTGTGGAATGGTCTAATATTTCAAAGTCTGTTTAGTACAGTATTCAATGGTTTAATAATTTGATTACTTTTCTTCCACTGATGCAAAATTACACATTTTAACCACCTGTATTAATACCATTTGTATTAACGTCAGTGTCGAAACACGTTTAGCTAATTTGTTCAGTAGTAAACAAAAGGAGGTAAAGAGAAAGTGTTGAATTTCTACTTTTCAAGCTAAATGCTAAAGTCAAAACGTGTCATTAGCAACCACTGCGCCACTACAACCTTTAAGTCTTCTACCATTATCATACTAACAATATCTATTCTCTCGTGCATCTCTTGATATTGATTCGAATGTACTTTTTTTTTCTTTTTGATGGTCTCATCAACTTGTTTGCTACCATCTTAATAACGCACGAATATTTTGTTAAAGGAACTTATGACACTGATAGTTTGTGAGTTTTTCAGTTTGCTAAAAGTAAAACGCTAGTGAGTATTAAAATATTGTCATAGTTCACATAGTTTATTGATCTCATAAAAGGCGTGGCTGTAAAAGTCTCTCTATACTTACCAATGTTTCTGAATAAATAAATGTATGTATTTATGTACGTTTGTGTGTATTTCACTGTAATAAATAGTACGACTTACTAATTCTGGGGTAAATAGCTTGTCACAACTGAAAGACGAAATAATACATTAATTGTGGAATGACTGGCTTGCCACAAGTACGACATGCTAACTCTAGGATACATAGCCTGTCACAACTGAAAAACGAAATAACACATGTTAATTCTGAAGTGACTGGCTTGCCACAACAACAATATGTAGTAAGACGTGCTATCTCTGAGGTAAGTAGTTTGTCACAAATGAAAAACGAAATAAGATGTAGGAACTGGAGTGACTAGATTGCCGCGACAATAATAATAAGCAGTAAGACGTGATAAATTTGGGATAAAAAGCTTGTCACAACTAAAAAACGAAATAATACATATTAAATGTAGAGTGAGTAATGTGCCACAACAACAATAAGTAGTAAGACGAGCTAATTCTGGGGTATGTTGTATGTCACAACTTAAAAATGGAACAAGACATGTTAATCACCGACTTGCTACAACAATAACAAATAGTACGACGTGATAAATCTAGGGTAAATAGCTTTTCAAAACTGAAAAACGAAATAAGACAAGCTAATTCTGGAGTGACTAGCTTACCACAACTACAATAAGTAGAAAGAGGTGCTAACTCTGAGGCAAGTAGCTTGTCACAACTGAAAAACGAAATAAGACAAGCTAATTCTGGAGTGACTGTCTTACCACAACTACAATAAGTAGTAAGATGTGCTAATTATGAGGCAAGTAGCTTGTCACAACTGAAAACCGAAATAAGACAAGCTAATTCTGGAGTGACTGTCTTGCCACAGTAATAACATGTAGTAGGATGTACTAACTCTGAGGTAAATAGCTTGTCACAACTGAAAGATGAAATAAGACATACTAACTGTAGAGTGAGTGGCTTGCCACAACTATAAAATAGTAAGACATGAATAACTCTAGGCTAAATATCTTGTTACAACTGAAAAATAAAATAACACATTAATTGTGGAGTGTCTGGCTTGCAATAACAATAATGAGTAATAAGACGTGCCAGTTTTGGTGGTCAGTTATTTTTCATAACTGTACTAAAAGGTACTAATTATAATGTGACTGGATCTTACAAATGTAATAAACAGTTAGACGTAAGTGCTAATTATGGTCAATCTGGCTTAACACAAATATAATGATTAGTAATATGTACTAATGGTGGTATTAATAGCTCGTCACAATTGTAATAAGTATTAATATTGAGTAAGATGTATTAATCCTGTGATTGACATAACTGTAATGAGTATATAACGTACTAATTCTGTCACAAATGTAACTTTGAGTAAGGCATACTAATCCAAAAAAGTGTAGTGTCAAAAGTGTAGTGAGTATAGTACGCACGAATTACAATACAAAGAGTTTGTCCTACCCCGTAATAAGTAAGCAATGCAGAGTGATTCAGGCAAAAGAAGCTTTTCAGAAGATTATTAAATACTAAGATGGATATACTATTTTGGGGGGTAACAGCTTTTTTCTACTATCAGTATGTAGTCACACAAATGAAATTTTGAGATGACTAGCTTGCACACCCGTACGAAGTTGTAAGAAATACTAAACGTGGGTTTAGTTTGTCAGAGCTGTGATAAATAGTAAGACGCACTAATTCTAAGACAATCACTTGTAAAGCACTTATGCATCGCCTTTTAAACCA